ATGGAAACTAGTTTCTCCTTCTGGTCTGGCAAATCGGTCAAGTCCTGATTTTTCTCTAGATTTACTTCTCTATTTGTCTGTGTTTCCCTCTCTGTTGTGTTCGCTTTCTCTCTCATATCCTCTAATCCCTTCGTTTTCCGGGAATTTGGATTCCGGTGAAGCAAACGTCCCTTTAATGTCTGCGCTCCTGCTTTGCAATTTGGAGGTTTTGCGCAAAGAAAGTGTTATATTTTGTAATTTGGTAGGGCGAGAGAAAAAGTGAGTTGAAATAGTTGACAGTGAAACTCTGAGAAAAGTAGTGTTGAAAATATGTCAATGTAGGCATTCCTACGCGAGGGAAGAATGGCAGATTTTCTTTCACTTAATTGTTAATAAGAGTGGAGATCCGGTACTCGAGTTGGTTGAATACAGCCCAAATCTAATAATGACTTTTTCCATCGCCCAAAAACTGTTGGCCACAAAGGAAAATTAATGTTTGTTGACATCAGTTGTAAAATATTTAAGTGTTCCTGTAAATTTAAAATGGTAACCAAATGTTACATGGTAATAACTAATAATTACTTGGTAATAGCTATAACTCTTAAAATTGTTTGCTCCTCTGTTGTACAACAACTAAATGAAGTCTCTGTTATTAGGAGCCCCTATTCTCTGAGATTGATCTCATGGAAGGGTGGGAATGCAAGATATATCATGTATTACTAATATAGCATCTATGAAACTGCATTATTTGATCCCTGGCTTTATACGACATCTTAAGGTAAATACTTATTGACTACACACTCCTACTCTGCGCTTTAGTTACTTTGGTCGTGAGTATGCATGCCCACCTTTGCATTAATTTTGTAATGTTACTTAATTTTATGTTAGCAAATTTGATTCAAGTGTAGTCTGTTTATCAAGCTTGAACGTTCAGTGAAGTATCATTTACTATGAAAAAGAAATAAATTTTACCATATGAATTTAATGTCATCGGAGCAGATATATTAATATAATCATAAGTATCAAATGGAATATCAGATATGGACTAACATCTAAATACAGGACCTTATTTGATGATGAAATTTGTTTGATCTGCAATATATATCATCTTTTTCAAAAGAGCCTTGTCTTTCCTCTTACTTGGAGACTTAGGTTGAATCTTCAATCTGTAGCTCAGATAACTGAAGATTTTTTTCTTATCATGAGGTTGTGGTCTACGTCCAGTTTATTTTATTCAAAATGAAAAGGCAAAATGCTACTGTGGTGAATAACAATTCTCGATCCAAAAATAGAATTCTTGATCTTTTAGTTTAGTTGTCCCTACTTTGATACATACTCTCATAGAGTCATAGGCAATGTACAAAAAGTTAACCTTTTCACTTACGTTATTTTGATCCTTAAATGGTTGCTTTTGTGAAGGAATTGAAGATGAAAGCCACCAAAAGGTCAATAAGAAGTTTGCAGTTGAAAGAGATGATGGAGCAGCTAGGATTTCTGATGTTAAAGGTATTTGTTAATTCTGATGATGAAATGGATTGATGTCTCAGTTGTGTACTGGATATGATCCATCTTTTGTCAACTGTATGCCTGAGTTGACCGTGTTGAAAGTGCCTTCTTGAATATATTTTTCTTCTGATCTATTTTGTATCCAATGGATTGAAATTTTTTGCCCGAGCATATAGCATCCTAGGAACGTAACATTTTATTTTTGTGTGTTTGTACTTTCTCTTTTGCAATACAATGACCCCTTATATTTGCAGGAGAGAAACCTCTTAGGACAGAGCAACTGAAATATTCTAGAGCCCAGGAAGGTAGCTTATTAAAGTTAGGTAAAGTCAAGTCAGAGGTTTCAGATATAAACTCTCAAAGTGGAAAAGGTAATATCCCAGATGGGTCAACTATTCCGGGGAAGACTCGCGCTTCATTCGGAAGAAGTAAAGAAGGAAGTGCAGCTACCCCTGAGTGTGTGACAGGAGCCCCTGCATTGAGAACTGAAGCAGTCCCTCTTAGGAGACATTCGAAAGGCACACCTGATATGCCAAAGGAAAGTCTCGATAACAGCCGACGAAAGGTGTCCACTTTAGATTCTTTGCCTAAAGACCCCAAACCGTTGCTGAAGCTTAAATTTAAGAATCCCTATCTTGATAATCGCAGTTCCTGGGTCTCTCAAGAGGAAGAGAAAAGTTTAGTCAAGGGCCAGAGATCAAAAAGAAAGAGACCTGAGAAAAATGAAGTTAGAGAAGAAGAAGGAGAAGAAGAAGAAGGAGAAGAAGGAGAAGAAGTGGAAGAAGAAGAGGCCAATATTCAAGTGAATCAGGACAGTCCAGTCAAAGAAGTCATGGATGCTAATTGGATTTTGAAGAAATTAGGTAAGGATGCTATTGGAAAGAGAGTTGAAGTTCAGCAGCAACCTAGTAGCTCCTGGTGAGTTTGATTGTTTCCTATTTTTGTTCTTTATTCTTTGCAATAATATGTTCTCAGGAAGGTTTCGAGTACTTTGTTGTTTTGACTTCTATGTCTGTGGAGACAATAGACATTAATATTTTCTTGGTTTAGTTGATTGTGTTTGCATTTTTCTTGTGAGATGCTGAGATGCATCTGCTTGTTCATGAACTGTTAACATTCTATCATGGATTACTTTTTCTGGACCACTTAGAAACCAAGTCAGCTACATTATGAGCTAAATGCAGATTTCTTTCACTGTAGGCACAAGGGAGAGGTTACTGAAATGATCGAAGGCTCGTCGACAGTAGTTGTTCGTCTAGATGATGGCCGAACGAGGGCCTTGGAACTTGGAAAGCAAGCAATACGCTTTGTATCTCAGAAACAAAAGAGATCAAAAGTTTGAGCTGTGAAGAATTTATTTTTGGCCTATCATGCTTTACCCTGGGGTTTCCCCCCCCCTGAAGAATGGACAACGGAGGTATCAGTAATCCATGAGATTTGACTAGTAAATGGGAATGCCTTTGATCTTCCCAATGGAATGGCATGGCTGATGGAGCTGTCGATGTAAAAATCTACAGCATTCAATGGTCAAGATCTATTGGACAGAGAATCCTCCATTTTCCTTTTGTTCTTTAATTTACATGCTTTTCATTTAGGTGTCAGTGCCCATTTCTCTTGTACCGTAGAAGCGTTGCTCTCTTGTTAGACATCATACATAAAAAGTAGTTCAGAAAGGAGAACTGGCCTGAAGTTTAAATCATTCAAATGCTTGTGTTCAAAGATTTTGAAACTTGGCTTTCTCTAGCTGATGTATAAAAAAGTAATGTTGAATGGGCAAGAAATATATTTGAGGCTGTTGTCAAAAGTAGAGAGGCAATGTTCTGAGATTTTTAGTAGTAATTGTCAAGTATTTTGATATCTATAGTTGTTAAATGGTCTTGTAGAGTGGAAAATTATAGTAAATTTAATTTTCTTTCGATAACTGTTTGTTTTGCCATGATATCCATTATACTTCATAACTGAAAATAATGAAGTTGGCTCAGCCCTGTAAAACAATAGAATGTCATTATCAAAACACAAATGTGTTTAAGTTAATTTTGTTTACGCTTAGAATGATACTCCATGGATCCTACATTGATAGTATTCTTCAAGAAACAATTAAGCATTCCATGACAATTACAAGGAGATACTGAGATATAGGTTACCCTTGTAGAATAGTAAGGGGAAGTCCTACAAAGTTTGATCAAAGCATGGAGATTGGGAGGGATTCCCAAACATGCATAAAGATGGGATAAACATGCATTGATGCATAAACTTTTGACAGTAGCCATTGGCCCAATTTAGTGGGCTAAAATGATGGGCCATAATTTCTACTGGTAGACTCAAACCACCTGAAAATGACTCCGTCTCAAATGGATGTAGGCCCATTTGTATTTGAATTAAGCGATGCAAATCAATGGGTATTTTTTTAGACTCAAACCACCTGAAAACAAATCCGGCCCAAATGAAATTGAGACGATGAACACTCCATCCAAAACCCTAATCTTTTTAAGCACAAGTAGGGTTTCTAACCATTTTCACTATATAACGCACCACTTATCAAATC